TTCAGAAATTGAAAATTTTTGACTTTTGAAAATTTTCAGAGTTTCAGAAATCAAAAGTCAAGGACTTAAAATTTATAAAACTCACAAATAAGACCTGTCTTACTGTACAACATGGCACATTTTCACCGAGGACAGTCTGACCCAGCCGGCGGTTGAGTTGAAGGCAATGTGTATCCTTATTGTCCTCTCAAGGACAGAAAACGCAACAAGAAACAATCTAACCAATAAAGAAATTATTATTTGGGTAGTAAAAATAACAAGAAGGAGGAAGTAGGCCATGCCCACCACAGATTGTTGAGGATCCCTGTTGGGGGGCGGATACAGATAGATCCCTGTGAGTTTGGTGCAGCTCGGCTCGAATCTGTGAAATTTAGAACCAAACATATGGCAATGGCGACCTATGTGACTTCACCACGCCACCACTCCCTCATCCTCCACCGAAACCAGTCAGTGTTGGAAACCAAGTCACACCAACATGTCTTCTGTCAGTGGACACACTTTTATGTTGATTAGGTCAAAGGAGTCAGATAGAGACCATTCAAAATAAACATGACACTTCCTGTTCTCAGTGGACTTGGCTTAAGTGATGTCATCACTTGACCATTGGGCATTGTAGGGGACCGGATATGGAATTTATTTATATTAATAATTATAAATATAATGCAAAATAAATAATAAAGAATGACATTACTCAGAGCATAGAGCATAGCATTAGACTAAATAGATCTGCCCTTGTGGATCTGGCACATTGTCACCAAGACCCAGTCTAGATTGTTTTTTCAATATCGGGACTGATACTGATATCTGATATCACTATTGGATTGGTGCATCTCCAGTTTAAAGAATATAAATATTTTTTATATAATACTATAAATGTAAATAGTTAGAGGAAATACAAAAGGGAGGATACTAATTTGTCTAAAAAATAACATAAGCCTATAAATTAACACTATCAAAGTGGAAACACAAAACAAATCCTTTTAGTCAAATTTAAGCAAAGTGTAAAAACGTACCTTCATCTTTTTGGCTTCAGCGCGGCTCTTGTAGCAGAACTCTACCAGTGCCACCATCATGGCGAGACCCAGACCTCCAACCAGGATGTAGAAAACTCCTGCCACATTACTAAGCGACAGAGCGCTGGTCTTTTCCTAGCACACAAAAAAGTGTGCACACACACACGCAAGAGAAAAATAAAAAAACAAAGAACAGGACACCCAGAAAATAGTGTTGGTGTGACATAACTACAAACATGATTTTATCAACACACAAATTTAAACGAAACACTTTGGTTAGAACCATTAAAATAACTAATAATTCTGCACACAGACATAGAAACTTTGGATATTATAGCATAGCTTAATACTGAAGTTGTACATTATGTTTCTAAACCTCAGCCTTTAATGAAAGTGCAAGTCAGTGTAGATTCTTTTAAATAGTGCATTTGCTGTTGCTTTTCACATTTTCAAGTTCATATCAGCATTCTTACAATAATACTCTATAATATTGCAATCATAAGACTACTTTGTCATGAATAACAAACATCTCAGCTTAAAACTGTAACACTGGAGAAATTATGATTTTTATCTCACTGCATACAGATGTTGCAGATGTCATGGTGGAGCCAGTTGGTACATTAGGACACAAGTACATGATTTTTTTTTTTTTTTTTTGAAGTATAATTTCAAAACAAATTAATTTTTATTCATATTGCTGCTGTGGTTTAAAATCCCTTTAGTAAAATTCCAGAGAAAGTTCTGGGGGAGTTTTGAGCCCCTACACAACTACAACTGTGGATGTTTATTTCATATTTTATTTTAGTGATCCAATTAAAAACAACCATTTTTAATAGAACTGTTATTTAGGCTTCACTTACATGCGATCACTGCCTGGGAACTGGCGGTATTTTTGGATGTTAATTGGGAAACAGATTCACTTTTAGGCGGCACTGCCAAAAACACCTCGAGTCAGCTGTAGTTGTCATGTCAGGCCACTAGATGGCACTGAGAGCGAACGCACATGTGCTTTTGACCATTAGCTTTCACGTAACTAGCTTCCACCAGTTAGCCGTCTCACATGAACGAAGTGCTCATGTATATTTAACAATATTTGACACATATTCCTAATCGGAAATTGTGCTAAATTGAACAGGTAAAGTAGCACAACACAACACAATGCTATCCGCTATTTATTTAATTGTTTTTGCTGTTAACTGCAGAATAAATCGTATGGCTGTGCGTTCTGCGCTGGTTTGAGAGACTGGTCACTGGTGTTGTGTAAACAAACAACAGTATCGCAATAAAAATGTTATGGTTTAACTGAAGAGTGAGAAAACTTTTTCTTTTATGTGACTACTCGTCTGATACAGAATATCAATCACTCTCAACCAGGTTCTCAAAAACAATAAATACATGTCATTGACAACATTACTAATGGTGCACTAATGTACCCAGTGGCTCCAGCATTGCATTGCTATGAAGCAGTTCTAGTCAGAAGTTTACATACACTCATCCTGTGTATTAAGGTAATTTTATCTCTCTAGTGATTCATTTGAACAGTTCAGTTTCCTATGTAGGATGATAAAGGCTCAAATATATTCATATATGTGGACAAAATTGTTGGTACTCCTCAGTTAATGACAGAGAAACACACAAAGGCCTCTGAAATAATTTAAAACTGGAAGAAGTGATAAAAAATTACTGAAAATTGATCAATGAAAATCAGACATTGCTTTTCAAATATGGTTCAGCACCTCTGAAAATAATTTGACCATAAGGACATTTTAAAATTTTAAAATAAAATTTATCCTCTATGTGTCTGTCCATTTAAAGTGTGGCATGTAGTTATATTCAGTAACTTAAAATATACGTCCCGATGAATCTAGATCTTTTGTCAGATTAAAAGTATATTTAAAAAATAACCTATGCTCATGTATTGAACATACTTTTCAATAAGCCCACATTTCTGCTTTTTAAAAATATTTTTTTCATTAGTCTGATACCAATTTCAAAACGTATCAAGCAATTTTTGCAGTTTGTTGCTAGGTAACAGGCAGGGCTGGCTGGGGTTGCTAGGTAACTGGCAGTGCCTGCTGATTTCCAACATTACGTTCTGAATGTTTTTGAAACGGCTCGTTTTCCAGACACCAAAAGACACCAGCTGGGTGTTTTTTTCTCTTTTAGCACTTGCACTGGAAGTACAAAAATGTGACTATTGAGTTCCCTTTAAGCTGCTTGTTGTAAAATTAGTCCACCCTAAAAAAAATGGAAGGTTCAAATAAATCATTAAAACCCTAAAATTAATATGATTTTCCTGTCAAATATGAGTGTAAGCAGACATCTGACAGGTGTAGTTTCTGTATACCCTGCATGCTAAATTGCACAACATGACCATCCAAGCTCCTGTAAACCCACATTGTGACTCTTATGAAACTTTTACCAATAGATGTCAATAATATCTAATGATTTTACAAAGTATCCTCTCTTCTGCAGTTGAATTAAAGCCCAAAATCATCCTCAAAGATGTAAAAAAACTAACTGCCAGACAAACGCTTGTTTGTTGCTGAATGATAGCAAAACCAGTTATCATCATAAATTAGTTATTTACTTGCAGACATGTTGATTTGGATAGCTTTTATCCTTTAATAGCTTTAACTAGATTACTTTGTGTGATAATATAACTGGTTTGATGACATAAAACCTTTAAAAGCAAAAATAGAAGAAATCTGTGAAGGAGCAAATAGTTTTCATTACGATATAAATAAAATTAATGAACTTTTTTACTAGCACTTGTGACTTCATTAACACTTTATATGATCAGAAACTACAGAACAAAACTAAAGAAATTCTCTTAACTGAAGTTTTCTTTGAGTTTTGTTAAAACAGATTCTTTCTCCTTATTGTCACTAAAATTAATGGAAATAATACATTTGATAAATAAAATAAAACAGAAACATGTTTTATTCAGCTGCATCGAGCAACTAATTTAGCATTTTTCTAAAACAAGTGCAGCATTCTGGAAAACCCATTTACAAAATGTAATGTTCTTCATGCATTCATGCTAACCTCAAATGAAATTTTTGCATTTGAAGGAACTTTTGTAATTAGTTGCTCGAGTAAAGGTGTAATAAGAAAGCAGGTAAAAAAAATAAAATTATTTCGATTCACCTGTGATCTGTTATTTCTCTTCTCATCTGCATAAAACTAAAAAATACTTTTGACCTTGTCCTTGTCATTCACATAACACAGCTGGAGTTAAGCTGTCCTCCCCATACTGTGCAAGCTTCCCATGCATTTACACGCGTGAACAGTGTGTTTGACTGACCCACAAACAGAAAACTAACCTTATTGGTGGAGTCCTTGAAGCCACACTCTCCTTTATCGTACCACCACTTGTTTTTCATCTTGTCTAGGGTCCCTTGCTCATTCAGTTTCAATACGGCAAGGTTTACTGGCACTCTTCAATGGGAATAACATAAATAACATCATTATCAATGTTATCTTATGTTATTAACGAGGCAGCAGTTCTTACCCTGTTCTCGCGACTAAGAAAGGGCCCACCAAAGATTGGCGTGAGACGAATATTCCCTTAATCCCCTAATATTAACACACGTAATGTGTTTTTGAATAAAGTGTTTTGTTGCTGGGCTCCTCGGTTTAGCGTCTGAGACAGATAATAAGAGGTGCTGCAATGAAAGGCTGTTGCTTTTTCAGCTGCAGTTCCCTGCCAGGCCGGAGCCTCTGGTACACAGAGTTTGGACAAACTGTGTGCAAACTCTCTGCAAACAGCGCCCATGTTGCTGCCATCTGGTCTGAGGTCAGCTGACCCTCACCTGGATTCTACATCAGACCTCAACCAGACAGGGTGCAACATAGCAGAAGAAGAAGCAGAACAGAGAACAGTGCCACCTGCTGGCAGTGAGTATAACCTGCTGGATTTATGACGTCAGCTGTGGTTCAGTTTTTTTTTTTTGTTTGTTCTTTTAAATCCCTGCTAACCTTAACATTTCCCTGTGGTCCTGTGACTGTGCTGCTTCTTCACATGTTCCACATTTACCAGACTGACCCAGTTTTACCTCTCTGCTTTGTTTCCTACTTTGCTTGTATGTGTGTGTGTGTATGTGTATGTGTTAGGTGGTGTGTGAGTGTGTGTATTAACCTTGCTCTCCCCTCCTCCGCTGCCGCATTCTCCCTTGTCATACCACCACTTGTTTTTCAGTTTGTCCAGCAGCCCCTGCTCGTTCAACTTTAACACCGCCAGGTTCACCGCATTTCTACATGAACACAGTGGCTGTTAGCAGTTCATTTCAGCTGTCAGTAACAATCCTCTGAAATGTAGCTAAATCAGCAACAAACATACTGCTCCTACTAATAATCCCTATTATCTACTACACTCTAAATTCATGATCAGAAAACAAACATTTGAAATTTTGATTTTTTTTTATCCAGCTTGAGTAGAGCAGCATTAAGATGTCTGTGCTTATGGTGTTTGGGATTAATAACAGTAGAAATATATTGAAGTCAGTCAAATTTGCTAAACATTTTGCTGAATAACTAACATCCAATTCAAAAACCTATTTCGGTCATACTGCGGCTTTTAATGTATGTCAACCAAAAATGTAACTATCTACGTTTCCATTGACCGCAAATTTGCGCAAATTGGAATTACAAAAATTATTTTTCTTAATGGAAACACGCCAATTTTGAAACAACTAAAGTGTTTTGATAAAAAAATGTTGCGCTAGAATGTGGTGGTTTTTCAGCTGGTATGTTTCACAAAACTGCAAAGGAAACACTCTTTGCATCACACAAGTCACATGATCAACAACCGGGTGTTACTACTGCTAGAAAAGACAAAGAAGATGACAGGAAGTGGTAGGAGGATGATGGTGCGGCATGTTTTCAATGATTTATTGCGTGAACTTATTCACATTTTTATTGTGTTTCTTATCACTGCAATTGCGAAATTGTTTTTTCAACATTAGAGGGATATCAACAAAATTTTGTGAACATTTGCAATGTAAACGCAACTATTATTCCACTAATGTCCCAAAAAAAAATTTAATGTTTCCAATAAATAAGAAACACAATTAAAATCACATGTAAATAAGTTTATTCATGATATAAGTCATTAAAATATGTGCTCCACCATCATCCTCCAACCACTTCCTGTCGTCTTCTTCTTTGTGGTTTGTGCCAGTAGTAACATCCGGTTGGTGGTTGATCATGTGGTTGATCATGTGACTTGTGTGGTTTTTTTCAAAATTGTCACATTTCCATTAAGCAAATTTATTTTCAAAATATCAAATTGCACTCTTATGTGGTCGTGGTCAGTAGAAATGCAGCTACAGTCGCGCAAGACAACAAACTGTCTGGGTTGGACCTACTGCTGGCAAAAATAATAAAGTTTAATTACTGCTTTTGCAGTAGAAAAAACTTCATTCTCAGTTTGTAAAACAAATCACACAAATTAAATCACATTGTTGCAGTTGCAGGCACATCAAGTCTCAAATCATATCGAGGGAAATGTCGATGGAATCATGAACTAAAAGAAAATGGTTTTGTCATGACATCCTCAATTATTTGAGCCATTCACCTCACCAAGAAAAAACATATTCAGTAAACAGAAGCAATATAATCCTAAATAAATGGCTCCATCATCACCAAGCCTAGTTAGGATATACAGATATTCCTTCAAAGCTGGTTTAATTAACTTTTGATCAAAATTACTAAGATTAAAGAAATGTTTATGTACATAACATTTCCACAAATAATGACAACAATAGTGTAAGAACTACACTTTTTATGGAGTCATATTTTGACCATGTGCATTTTGACCTACTTTTCTATTAACTCTAGTCTACACTAAAGAAAATGCATTAAACACAAAAAATATAAATAAAACAGCTTTTAAGTTGTTTGAGGTCTACAAGTACTATTACAGAAGAAAAGTACCTGAACAAGTCTACACTTTTTTGTAGATTAGACTTCAGTTACTTACAAAAAATAAATAAATAATAATAATAATAATAATAAAATATATATATATATATATATATATATATATATATATATATATATATATATTTTTTTTTTTTTCCCTTTAAAGACACTTGTAGGTTGGATAAGTAATATTTTCTTGTACTCAGTCTGAAACAAAAGATGTGCCCCTAATTACAACAATGTAATTAATTTTATTATGTATGACAAACAATACAAAGCCACCAAATTCAGAATTTTGTCTCATATGTGATCATTTTTTGCCAACAAGTAAAATCCTATGACAGTATTTACAGGCCTTGTAGCAACATTAGCTCTGAACTACAGCAGTCCCTAACAGGCAGAAACATACAGTAACTAGAATTAATTTAATATGATGTGATCACACAGAAACCTGTTTGATCTTAAGGATATGAAAAATAACCAACAGAGCTATTTAAACTTTACTCTTTTATATATTTTAAATAATCAGTGGTGCTGAAAGTAGCACTGTTTGGTGTGCAACATGCCGGATAAGGAAAATCTTCTGGGGCTAAAGCTGCAATATGCAACTTTTATAAAAACTATGTTTTTCATATATTTGTTAAAATTATCACAATGTCAAGACAGTGTAATATAAGGCAGATAATCTGTGGGAAAAAAATGAGCTCCTCTTCCTTCTCCCAGTAATAACTGCAGAAATACACTATTCAGCCAGAAACAACCAATCAGAGGCAGGAGGAGGGTCTTAGCGCAGTAAATCAGCTTGTGTATGATCTGCCGCCGGCTTCCTCCCACAGTCCAAAAACATGACTGTTAGGTTAATTGGTTTCTCTAAATTCTCCCTGTAGGTGCGATTGTGTGTGTGTGCGTGGTTGTTTGTGACTGTGTTGCCATGGCACCTTGTCCAGGGTGAACCCCGCCGTTGACAGATGGAGATAGGCACCAGCACCCCTCTCGACCTCAATGGGATAAGGGTGCACGAAAATGGATGACAGTAAGTTGTTTCTCCATCATTGAGCAGCGTGTACATGAGGTTTATTGACAGCTCTAAGACCCGCCTCCTGTCTCTGATTGGTTTTTGATCGGGAGCAGTGTGTTTCTTCAGACAGAAATAGCAGCTCAGGGAGGAGAAGGAGATCAGTCTTTTCACAGATTATCTGCCTCATATTACACTGCCACAACATGGTGACTGGTTTAACAAAAACATACATATTTTATAAATGTTACTGTAGCTTTAAGATAAGTATCCAGTGCTAAATGCTAATATGAAATCCTAAAGACAAATTAAAATAGGAATCATGTTGTCCGTCTTTGGAATTAATATAGAAATCCTGATTAATTGCAGATCTGTGTAACCTCTCATACACACAGTATGACATCACCTCTAGCCCTAATATATGAGAAACTAATGATTAATCATACGGTTCTTTTGCAGTTCCAATAAATAAATGAATAACTAAGAAATCTAAACATAAAAAAGTAAAAAAAAAAGTTTGACAGGAATATTATTTTGTGCGGTTTAAGAAAAGGAAGAAGTTAGCGATCTGCAATGAGCTTAATGGGATTTTATATATAAAGATGCTTTTGTCCTATAAACCTGGAGGATTTCACTTGTTAATCAGTCCATCAAATAGATGAATAGATGAGGAAGGGAAACATGAACTGTGCCTGGTAGTGAAACTGCTGTAGTTTTTTAGATACGCTTTGCTCCATGAGAAAACTGATTAAACTTAAGTTCACAGCAATGTTTAGGTTAAAATGAAACTTAAGTGTTTTGTTTGTTTATTTTTTGTTTTAAATGAGGACCAGTACTCAGAGCTGAAATGCCAGTAAATGATTGAGTGACAACATAGAGCAGTGGGTTATAAAACGGTAAAAGCCTGGAACAAATCCAGGATGATTGATGCACAGTGACTGGCTTAAATGTTTGTCATGCCCAATATTACCTGATGTGAGGTGGGTGCTGCTTTATTGTCTGATCTTTATCTTAAATACTGTTCAGATCTGACATATAAGGCTGACTTTTGTGGTAAATGACAGTAATGTAGTCGTAGTCAAACGTATTGATGTAGAGCCTGAATTTGGAAGGGGAGGAAATGAAATGGTGCTCTGCAGCTCAGTATGGCTCCGGTAACCTTTATCAGCTACCTGGAGTTAAGAAAAATAATTGTTTTCTAAATCACTTGTACATTTAAATGCTGAAAATGACAGTTTTCTGAATAAAAACAACCCGAGAATGACAGAGAGAGAGAGAGAGAGAGAGAGAGGGAGAGAGAGAGAGAGAGAGAGAGAGAGAGAGAGCGGAGAGCAAAAAAAAACACAGATCTAGTGA